TGACATAATGTGATTTTTACATGAAAACAAGCGGAAGCAGAAAATATAGACAGCGGAACTAGAAACTATTTCTGCATTTTATATACCAAATAAACTTCAGAACTTTGGCATTTTCAGGATGACGTGTTTGCAGTCCTCCGGACCCAGCCGGTAGCTATCACTAGTTTTGCAGCTAAGCAAACAATGTTAGTTTCATCCGGAAAATAGTGCCTCACCAATGATGTCATCAATTTTAGAAAAAGCCGTTGGGTTCCACGATTATAATTACGTGAGCTAAACATGCTAGCATGCTGTAGGTTGTTGTTGCCAGGACAGAGCTGGTGTCTCTAGCCTTGCCACTGAGAGGTTGGTTTATGACATCATCACTGACATCATCAAAGAGAAACGGCTGTTTGGTTATCCGAGGCATGTATACCTAAAGTGCAATAGCTAGTAGTATGAATGTAGGATTAACCTGTGAAATCTTTCTTCAGTAATTATAATGTTCTTTGGGAAATAAGCTAATGCATGAAAAATCATTGGTTTGACAGTGTTGGATGAATGTGATGATGAAATGAACAGTATAGTGCACTCTGAACATTACATATATAGCAGAAATCAATTACAAACAGGGACACCTGTGGTCTAATGAAACCAGTCTGGAATGCTTTACGTCACTCCATATACTAACCCCTCCGCAGAAAGGAAGTCCCCTCGTCTGGTCCCTAGTGACAAAAAGGAAGTCCATTCCCAGTCCCCAGTATATAGCTCAGGCAGTATATATAAATCTCATGGAGCATCAACCAACAACAGGCAGAGAAAAAACAAATTATACCATTAACTAAGAGACAATCAACAATACTTGGAAAAGATCCACGACAGAGAAGGCACAAGATGGAAGTGCTTCAATACGTTTTCTTAGCCGGGATTTATGCAGTAGCGACCGCTTCAGCCGCAGCAAGGACCACTTACGGAATATCGAAAAACTGTACCTGTGGATTTGAAAAGCTGCCAGGAAAGAAAGACGGCTGTAGAAATGTCGAAGATAGTGAATATCCAGACCACGAAAGATCTCGGCATCACTGATGCTTGTTTACCAGACATTCCTGACAAGTAAGTTTGCAATAATAATATTGCCTCTTCAAAATTATGCTACAAATAAATTCTCTTTGCAGCACCCGTGTCTGCTTCCGCACTAAAGTAAAAGTGTGCCATAGAACGGTCTATCGTGGTCGTTTCTTCCATAATAACTTCACGGAGGAGCGTCTGCGGATGATGGAGAACTCGGCGTTCCTCTCTCCACCCGCAGACTCTGACGTCAGAACTTTCTGCATGTTCAAAGTGAACATGAGCTCCAACGCCAACTGCTCGCTCCTCAGACTCACATACGTTCCCGATGAAGAAGACGCAAACAGTCTCGGCGAATCTCAATCTCTTAGAAATGAAACTTCCACAAACTCTCTCTGCAGGGATTATCTCAAGATAAGGAATAGGAAGGTTTGTCTTTCCAACCTGGCAAGGCTCGATGCGCTACCCCTGATCCACGAGACTTCGTTTGTCGCTATATTTTGGACTGACGCAACGAGAGACGGCGACACTATCAGCTCATTCGACATTCGTGCTGAATGTGAGGTCTATAGCTGAACGAGGAGCTACACTGTTTTAGAAGTATATAAACCGTGAACCTGTCTCACATTTTCTCTCGATATATTATTATTTCTATAAAAACTGCACACTGAGAGCGTGAGGCGAGACAGGATCAGACCATCAGTCTAGACCCTTGCCCTGTGAACTGAACGCCGCGCGCACATATCCTCATGCGCATGCGCGTAGGGTGTCGATCTGTTGGTGTCGCCGAGTGAAACCATTCCACGCTGTAATATCGCGCTATCCGTGCTAGCGCACTTTACACGCTGCACCGACGAAATTTCCCGTCTTTGCCCTTGTCTATTCTGGGAAAATGCACATGAGAAACGTCTCAGACCGCAAAGTATCATCAAAACTTACTGAGAAAAGACATTCTTATTAGCTATCTCAGATTTTGGTAGCATCATAAGCATTTTAGCCCCCAGCTAATAATATAATAGTAGTTCTGCAGTATATTAGGTTGGCAAATTGATTCTTATGCGATTTCTTGAAAGTTTTATAGACGTAGTCACATGGTAATCAAAGCTACATGCCTTTACAACCTATATACATATTATGTGCATCCGCCTAGCTACCGGTTTGCTATTATGCAGTTATTTATATATACGCACCGGAAGCAACTGAAAGTTATATAATCGTAGTCACATGGTACGTGCCTTTACATATACTCACCGGAAGCAGTGCGAGTATAAAACCGGCACGCGTGTCGACTTAATCATCCAACCACCGACCCAACCTACTACGAAAACAAAAACAGAAAAATGAAAATGTCAATGACCGAAACTTGCAGAGCCGTCTGCCTGGTGCTGCTAGTAGCAGCGTCCACACTTCTGCAAAGAGCCGAATCCAAGAAGAGACACCCTCTGAACTTCCCAAAGGGCTGCACGTGCCAGTACACTCGGATACGGCACTTACAGTCCTGCACAGAATTCGACGAGCACTATCCAAGATTTGAAGACATGAACTTCGACGCTGGAAGCTGCATGCCTCAGATCCCAGCCAAGTAAGTTACACACCATACAAAGCTACTATATACAAGGGACATACTTACGTAGCTATCTCGAATGCTCATGCATGCATGTGTTTTATGGTCGGTTCTCCTTTTTCCTCTACAGTCAGAGAGTTTGCTACAGAACAAAAGTGAGGGACTGCAGACACGGAGGGCCTTACTACGGCTGTCAACTCTTCCCCATAAACGACTATTTCAAGCTCGGAAACCTGCCAACCACGGGAGGAAACCGGAGCTCAGTGTTCATAGACTCACTCAACAACACTGAATCTAATAGTCTGTGTTTCTACAACGTCTCGGTGACTGAGAACAGCTCTGGGAACTGCTCGGGGATGTCACTGGTTCATGCCAGTGACCATCCAGAGAGCTCACACGTCGATCGATTGGAAGACGCCAATTCAAGTGGTAATTCGACAAGAAGTCCACCGTGTGGAAGCTACGTGAGAGTGTCATACACTCGAGGAGGCAGACAGCAGTACCGCACACTCTGCAGGGAAGAACTGGCACATCTGAATCTAACACTACCAGATGTGACTTCAGTACTCATTGTGTACTGGACAAACAATAGGAAAGTAACTCGGGCTCCTTCAAGCTACAAGCACAATGTCTAGATTATTGAAAATTCTTTTATATCATCATTCTAACAGGTCATTCACCCTTTCAATCACTTATGAATCAGATTTTATTCAAACTAACTTTGCTAATACAAGCGCTGCTGTTCTCTGTTCTTTGCCGTTTACGCATAGCTAGCTAGACATGGGCGGAGTTAGCTAGATACTGCAACCCCTCGCTGTTTTACCGACCTGCTTTGGGAAGATGATGCAGCGTTGGAGAGTGAAGGCATCGCTTCTCAGGCGACTCCTGTCTTCGTGCATGATTCAGGCAAGAACCAGTCTCGTGTCAGAACCAAGCTAGAAAGTTTGAGGACCGTAAAACGTTGGCGTATGACTGAGGTCGAGCAAGGCACTTCCCACTTGTACCTAGTATCTAGCTAGTATTCATTGGTAAAGACCCAGGCTCTAGCTATCTCTATAACTGCGCAGAGAAGTGACTATCCAACCTTCCTTCCTACCAAGTAGCCTGTTTTACATTCTCAGTGTGTGTGATGTAAGTTAACACAAAGTTTCTCTGTAACAGAGATCCGTATTGTGTGAGGGACACGCTGGGTCAACTGTCTGTCGGCACGTATGTCAGTTGGAGCACAGGGCACTGGTGAGTATGGATGGAGAAGAGGGTAAATCCTTCCTCCAGGGGTTCGTTACCGCCGACATGGAGAGAGGCGGCGATGAAGCGTTTTACTCCATGATGCTCAATGCACAGGTGAGCAACATAATTATGTAACACGCTCACTGCATTCACACATTCACCAGTGGTCGTAGTGATTCACTTGGAAATTAACTAGGATCTTTAAATTTAGATCTTGTACGCAATCAAAATCCCATTAGAGGCAAGGCAAGTATAATGGCAGCTGTTGATCAGGGAAATAAAATTTCACAAGAATCCACTCCAGCTCTACTTTCTCTTTTCTTCTATAAACGACTGCTTTTTTTCTCATTTCACCTGATCGAGACTATACATCTTTCCAATCTTCGCAGTTCCAAGCTGCGTGTTGTAAATAGGCCAGGAGATGCAGATACAGTCGTTGCTAGCTCCCGCTCACCAAAAATGCCCTGTATATGCTAACTATGAGACAGGGTGTGTCTCTTACCACCAATACGCCTCCGTGATGTGTTAATCCTGATCACCTGAGACAAGCTGCCACTCTCAGGAAGTGATCTGATTTTGTTTAGTGGAGCGATCATGAAGCCCTGGTGAATCCTCTCTGCTTTGTTGCTACACTACAACTGATTTTGGCAACACATTATTGGCGAGTGGGCACGAGAGCGAAATAGACAAATAGACACACATGCCGATAGTGCTATCTGCGTACATACCAAAAATTACGCAATTCAGACGAATAGGCTTCACTTGCCAATTACACCAAAAATGATCCAACAACAAGAAATATTTTGATCCTGATTCATAATAATATTGTATGGAGCCTAAAGTTAACACTTAACCAGCCACAGACAAATTAATGTATCCAGAGCCCCTATAAGTCCATAAGAATTTATATGGGGGTTATAATACCAGGTGCTAATACTTTATACATCAATTTCTGCTTTTGTATATAAGCAGATCCCCATGGTGTGCAAAGGGTTAAATGTGTATGAGAGGAAGTGAGTTTGTATACTATCAGACTGTCAAATTACCACGACGTGGGTTAGTGTGTAAGCAGAGGCCATTGATAGGAAAAAGATGAGCATATGTGGCTAATTTGCAGCTACCATACTGTCTGTGTTTTGAGACCGGGACACAAGGTTTAATAATTATTTAAGATTTATACACTTAAAACCCTTAGCAAGCCATGGGCATATATATGCCCAGAGCCTCCATAAGTCCATAAGAATTTATATATGGCTATAATACTAGGCGTTAATACATCAATTTCTGCTTATTTAAGGAGATACCCATGGTGTCCAGAGGGGTAACTTAACACAGAGAACTCAACATCTCATTGTGTCACATCCTGTCTGCATGCTCCTGGTATACTCACTGTAACTATGATTCTCAAGTGGAACTTTACAGTGATCTTTACAGTGATCTTTACAGTGATCTTTGTATCCTGAATTCTTCTTTTTATGGAAGTAGCTGCTTGGTATAGTCCCTGGACTGTGATCAGTACTGCAGTTCTGACATCCGATTATTGAAATAACTTTCACTTCCTACTGTTGGTTCTCAAGGGTGTGTTTACATGTGTGTGTAATTGAATCTCAGTATCCTGAATAGATTGACATTACACTTACGTATGTATAGTTAAGGAAGGAAGATTGAAGGATTTCTTCCTGATGCAAGTGTCTGGGTTTGGAACTCTCAAAACAAGTTTGTTGATAAACAACCACTATTAATATGACCATTTATGAATAGATCGACATTGCGTAAATGGGTTTGAAAGATTTCTACCAGTTGAAGCGTCGTTGCTTTTGGAACATGGTTGTCAAAGCAAGTCTGTTGACATTATGAAACAACCATTTTTATGCACTATTATAGGCATACGTAATTTCATCATGACAGCTGTGGTACATCGGCATTATGTAATGGCAGCGATTGCATGGCAGCATTATTACGGCGGCAGTTGTATATCTGAATTACGGATGCGTGCATATGGCAGCCAATGTAGCTGAATACACGGCAGCCATACTTGACGTGTGATATAATTCGAATTCGCATAATTCGAATCCATTTTACCGCTTACGTATGATCATCAAAATCATCAAGTGTCTAGACACTACTTATAGGTATGGATTCTGCCCTTATTTTGCTTATTTTGAAGTGAGATATGCCAATTAAAACGAAAAGTCCAGAACCTGATTTGATTTTGACACTGATACACAACCTGGTGCCTATCCTAACAATAACTTCCTGCTGTGCGGATGCTGTAGTGATTGTTATTGTTTCACATGGGCCCTTCCCCTGCACCAGTTCCTGTGTTAGAATAAACATCCCCTCTTCAACAGTCACAGTCTCAAAAAGGGCACCAGAAAGTGAGACTGATGCAAAAATATTAATTATGCCACCCATGAATGTTAATGGAGAAAAAGCCAGATATTTACGTATTCCGCATTCCTATAATCTTGATTAGTTATCCCAATAATCTGACCATTCATGTATATGATTCAAACACAAATGTATGGTGCATACTACAGGTGCTGTCCCTGTATAAAATGTTCTATAGCTGGACATCATAATTTTGTAACATTTGCGATATGCACATACCTTAAAATCTCATTTGGTGGAAACTTTATTCAATTATGCCTAGAGTTTCACACATCAATTATCGGACACCAATGGGAGTGAGGAAAGTGTCCATATTAGTGAGGTGTCCTGAGCATTATACAGTGGAACTCCTCTAATCCAGACACCAATGGGACAGAAGAAAGTGTTCATGTTAGTGTTTCGGGGGTTAAGTTGAACTGTGTCATTAGAGATGGGTTCCACTATTATTAACCCATTATGTAAGAGTATGTTCATGGTGTGGCCTTATAGAGCGGGTGTGCGCATCACGCAGTGAAATAAGAAAGTTGTTGCCTTGTTGGGTGGGTGTGTGTATCACGTAATCAGTGAAGACAGGGAATGCCCTGGACTTGCTAGGGGCTCATTGTTACTTGTGGGGTAACCACCATGAGCAGTGGGGAATTCGCATGCTGTACTGAGCTCAAGCTGTATTTAGGATGTGTCAATTGGACACAGGAAGTTGTACTACATACTGTATATACCACTTTGTGGGCTTGTTATCCTCCTTTTACGGATCAAAGTGCCTGTGTTGTTATCATAAGACAGGCTTATGTGGCTGCACAGAGGGGATGAATGTGAGGTTAAGTCCCCAAGTGTGTCACGCTGAGAGAGGATTATATAATACTCATGATTGGGGAGATTATATTTTGTTACCCATCTGAAGAGCTGTTCTTGGGGAAAGAAAGGTGTCTTTGTTAGAGAGGTGTCCTCTTGGGGAAAGAAAGGTGTCTTCGTTGGAGAGGTGTCCTCTTGGGGAAAGAAAGGTGTCTTCGTTAGAGAGGTGTCCTCTTGGGGAAAGAAAGGTGTCTTCGTTAGAGAGGTGTCCTCTTGGGGAAAGAAAGGTGTCTTCGTTGGAGAGGTGTCCTCATTTCAGTGGAGAGAGGTGTCCCACTGTATATTCTCTCATGTTTCTCTCTTTCTCTCTAGGGCCGTGTACTGTTTGACCTTCTCCTATATCCCCTACTGAACAACTCCTATTATCTCGAGTGTGACTCTAGATTAAGGAACGACCTCATCACTCATCTTAGGAAATACGCTTTGAGAGCAAAGGTCGGTTGGCATAGGGGGAGAAAGATTATGTAATCTGTTTTTCTAAGGACACCCCTGATATGGGGACACCTCTCTAATAAGGATCTCTTGTTTGTCTTATATGACAGTTCTCTTGTGTGCGCTTTAACCCCCCCGGAAATAAGGACACCTCACTAACACGGACACTTTCTTCTGTCCCATTGGTGTCTGGATTAGAGGAGTTCCACTGTATATACTATAAATCTTTCGACACAAGAAAATCGCATGAAGCTAATTTTCAGCGAAAAAGTCACAAACGCAGTTTACCAGCAAATTAAGCTAATTTATTCATCACTTGCTCATCGGAGATAAAGATCGTACTCTGGTCATTTGCACCCTGACCCCAGGTAAAATTTGCACCTGTGGACGATCACAGAGTGTGGGCGTTGTTTCCCGGGCAACCCAGCACACCCCCAGCTGTAACCACAGAGCGGAAATTCATTCTGTCCCATGACCCGAGATCTAGGTCAGTTCTAGAGTCTCATCCCCTGTCGGTTCACCTAGTTTCCACATCCTCTGTCTCATCTGTTCACCTATATAATTATATAGCTTCCAGGGTTTCTTTTCTAGTGGGGAATTTTTATTGGCGAGCAAAGTGAGCCTATCTGGTCGTCTCAATGCAGGAGTGAGTATGTTTGTGTCCGACTGGCACTGCACATGTGCAGGAGTGAGTATGTTTGTGTCCGACTGGCACTGCACATGTGCAGGAGTGAGTATGTTTGTGTCCGACTGGCACTGCACATGTGCACAGTTTGATTTGATGTGTATACCATGCATTTTTGGGTAATGTAACAATTTTTTCCTTAATTCCAACATCCCCTCCTCTTCTTTTACACACACACACACACACACACACACACACACACACGCAATCTTTAAGGTATTTTGGAACACGAGTGATTTTACCTTCTCAAATGTCACCCTCACATCTTTGGCCAAATATGGAAGTCGTAGACATGGGTATGCCCCTTCATAATTACTATACTTCTCAAGATAGCGTTTCCTTGTTTCAGAGATAGTGTTTCTATTTATTATTTATACATGGTTTTTGAAAGGCAATTTGTCCCATTGTTAATGATGTAAGGGAAGTTTTAAGGGGGGTGTCCTATTTACATATATGTGCAGGAGTATACCATAGACACAGAATGGTCTCAGGGATTCCGGAAGGTTCTGATGACATCATAAGTGGGCGGAGTCTACCTCTGGAATGCAATCTCGATTACATGAATGGAGGTAATATACATCTGTATTTTATACTAGGGAATGTTGCAGTCCGTGGGGGATAAATGTAGAACTAAATTAAAGGACCCAGGTCGATTATGTATAAATTTAGCTCTTCTACTGCCAAATTACCTTTAATTATAGGCCAGTTATTAAACTTGATTTACACTTCCGTTCAGAAAGTGACATACATGTACGTCGGTGGACACGAGTGTTTTGCAATATCTCGGCAAGCACTCGTGTGTATGTATACGTAATGTATGCAACCATGAACACGGAAGAACCAGCCAAACAATAATGTATTCACACAACTTATTGAATGTACAGTATGTAGCAGTTACTACGTAAGGGCCAGTTTTAGTAGTCGCAGTGTGTTGGCTAGCAACCTCTATTCATGCTGTAAGGGGAAGAACAGAGATATCCCCCCCCCTCCTTACCCCTCCTGTTCCAACCATAGTCATTTACAAATGGTGCAAGAATGCCTCAATGGTGTAGTCCTATAAAAAGGATCCGAGTATTAAAATGTATGGGGAAGGGGAAACCCCACTCTTACATATTGTAGTGTTTTCTTATTGACAGTCTAACTTTTAAAACCCTTCGGACGCCATGGTTATCTGCTTTTATTAGTGATGTATAAAGTATTAGCGCCTAGTATTATAACCCCACATAATAAATTAATTCTGTTTGTACTTATGGAGGCTCTGGACACATTAATATCTCCCTGGCTGGTCAGGTTTTAATCGGGGTATATAAGGCTGCTCTGAAGCCCCCTCTTCCCTCTCTCTCTCCTCTCCCATTATTTCTCCAGTTAGTTTCAGCAAAGGGTTGTTACCTCGGTCAGGAGCTAACAGCCAGAACACATCACACCGGTGTTGTTAGAAAGAGAATAATACCCGTCACACTCAGGTGAGCAAGTATGCAGTGAAAACTTCGCAAAACCCAAGTACTGTAACCCTCGCTTCACATGTGTGCAGAGGGTTAATAAGGTTCCTTATTAACTCTATGCATCACGTCTCCGCATGCTATATACATATATACAGAGAATCTTAGATCCCATTATTCTGTTTTCTTTTCAATGTCACTTTAGTGCATAATAGGAGACACGCCTCCAAACGTAATAAGTAAAAGAGAGTTTCACTACGTCAGTTTCCTACTATGGTATGTAGAGACATTGAAAGCAAGGAAGCTAATAATATATGGCCTCCTCAGATCTCCCTAAGCAATGATGTAAGGCATGTTTATTTTAAGCTCTTGGCACCCTATTAAGCCAGCAAGCCAACTTTCTATTGATGAAGTCCATACAACAAAGCGGTGCCAGTTTTCAATATAATATTATACCAGTTTTTCCCGTTTTATAACTCAAATGCGGTCGTAAGTAACACACTTTGCTAACTCTTAAGTGTGTTTTGTTGTCACTTAAGTGTACAATAAGTGATTCTCCACGCATCTGGTTGGTCAGAAGTCATGTGACCAGTAATAAAGCAAGATACAGTCTTTTCTTCAAGATATACACATACATGCTTGTGCACGTAGTATGGTTACATGATAGTGTATAATTATACATGTGACTGAGTGGGCGGGATTCAGAGAAATTTCCTGCAAATATGAGGACATTGAAAGAGACTGGCACAGGAAGCTCTTGTATAGGAATCCTCAAGAATCATTTCCTGTGGGACTAAACTGTTTTCAGAGTACAGGGACATCCCCATGCTATATTATTACAAGGAGCATTCCTTTGGCAGGCTAGAAGGAAACGAAACAGCTGTCCAGAGCTCCACATCTTTTTTTTCTCTTGGCATCACATGGTCTAATACCTTCATGCTTCCAGGGGATCAGGAGTATAATGTCCAGCCTTCGAACTCAAACCAATAAACATATTGTATATTAGTCTCTATCCAGTGTATAATTATCATATATACCTCATCCGCTTTTTAATGTTCTAAAGTGCCCCTACCAAGTGTGGATAATGCTGTTATGCACCTTTTTAGGTGTTCTAAGGTGTAGATACGTTTCTCACAAATATGTAAGTCTAAATCCGAGCAAAGAACAGAAAACGTGGACATCCTATGCATTAAAAAACTCTTTTTCTTACATTACCTTCAGCCCAGGCACCCCAGTTCAGTCAGGGGCAGACGTTACAAGCAGCAGTGGTGGTGACGGCAAGAGTGCCGGGAGAATTCTCTCGAGTCACGGTTGCCATGGTTTGGCACTCCTGAAACTCAGTGCAGCGTAAGTATTGAACTGACCAGTACATGTACATACACTGCTGGCTTTGAGAGAATAGGTTTATGGAACAGAAATTGCATGGAAAACCCTCTGGTTGTTGAAAAATGAACCTCCACACAAATGTTTCTGTAACAAATATTGGCTGTGGTTTGGAGCCTCAAAATTCTCTTCAAATCTCTCAAATTTTCCTGTGCATTTTATCACCGTTTGCTTGAGCATAACACTCTGTCCTGGCTCCAGTAATCATTATACAGTACAGCTGTTTTTATATTGCTATTATAGGAGTAAGGGGGAGTTGTATGCGAGAGATGAGGATGGGAAGCAAGTCACAGTGACTGCACACATACCTGAATACTGGCCGAACCACACCCACTCCTCCTCTTCCAGTAGCAACCAGGAGTCATGAATGACCTTTTTCTTTTGTGCTGGTTGTGTTTCACCTTCTCTGGGCAGTGGGCACACGCCGTCGAAACGCTCCCCCCTCGCCTCTTATGTACTTAACAATTTTACGCGCAATTTTAAAATTTCGTTCGCCGCGCGCATATTTACTGCGCATGCTCACCAGCGCGCGGGTCTCACGCGCACGTGAGGTTGAAGTTTGTTTTACTCGCGCGCGTTCTCGAGTCTCTCTCTATCCCTGGGGATGATAGGTCTGAGGTGCAGACCAGCACAGCTACTAGTGCTCCTGACGTCCAGACATGCTCTAGGCTCACTCGATGCATATCCTCGAGCTCCAAATGTGGTTCTCGCTAGACACCTCCAAATGTCTTGTCCAACTACTGCTGCTGCTGGAGACGAGGGTGAAGTTGAGAGAGCGAGGGAGACAGATGCAGCCCGCAAACAGAATCCCTCAACAACACAAGAAGATACAATCTTCTCCAAAATCCTAAGAAAAGAGGTTCCTGCGGACATCATCTATGAGGACGAAATGGTGCGACCTCTTTTGAACTGATCTTTTACGTATCATTTTGATGTTTTGTTTGAAACTCAGTGTATGGCGTTTCACGATGTGTCACCGGTAGCTCCAACTCATTTCCTGGTCATCCCTAGAAACCCAATCCCAATGCTCTCAGCTTCAACTGACCGTGATACTCAGGTATAGCTATAGGTCTCTGTATGGATAGAACAGATCTGAAGAATTCTATTCAGCTGTTGGAGCCTTTGCTGTGGGGCGGAACCTTGCTGAGAACAGGGAGAACATCTACTGATGATGCTAACCAGAAGTGGTAACTACATATTGTAGCAGTGGAAACTATCTGAATAAGGGACACCTTGTGGACTTAGAGGTGTCACTTATTTGGAGGTAAAATCACCAAGTGTCCTTTATATATAATATATAGAGAGGTGTCCTTTTCAAAGGTTGAACTGTTGTATATAGGCAATAATGTAGACATTAATCTTCTCCCTCTCTTTTAGTAATCAACAATGGAGAGAATGGTGCTCAGTCAGTCTATCATCTTCATGTTCATGTGATTGGTGGTCGGCAGCTGAGCTGGCCTCCTGGAGTAGCTAGGACAACTGTAAAAGCTATGTAAACAATTATGGTAGTGTTATGATGTTTTTGTATGGCACTATTATTATAGTAAATCATTAACGATGACCACTTGCAAATCAATGATAGCTACCTTTTTTATTATAGTCAGATCTATGGTAACACGTAGCATGAGATCATGGAAGTTGTTTGATAGTCAGAGCTACATAGTCGTCAGTATTCGGCAGCGTGATAGTGGTGGCGGATGTAAACACTGGATCATTGCTATGATCCCATACGGAGGCTGGAGTGTCTCCATGTCCCTCGGGTAGCATGACAAACAGTCGAGTACTGACGTTAGGGGATGGCCATGTGTACCTCCTCCGTCCTCCACAACAACACTTACAAAAACACCAGAGTACATCTCTTGGAAATGTCAGCGCATTATTGCATGCTATACAGTGATGCAACTAAACAGAGAATTTAACAAACAACAAAAACACTAGGCCTTCCAACTGGGTACACATTGACACTGAGATATACTAAACAGGAAACCCAAAGAGGCAACTAGATGCAAACAAAAAGGGAGGAGTTTTAAAAGCGATGCTATTGTTCACATACTTCTTGCTAACATGCCAATATAACTACTATCAAACAAACAATGCTCAACACATTCAAAACGTAAGATACAAACAGAATTAGATATGTTGACCCCAAATATACGACAATAGCTTCAAAACTGAGATTTTCCTTATCTGGCGTAGTAAGGCGATATGCTGTCAGAATATTGAGACTCATAATATACAAAACAGCTGATATTGGTACAACAATCTCAAGGCATATTCCGATTGCTTTTGCTTTCCGAGACTCAAAACACGTTTTTAGACTCTCAGGTAAAAATGGAAACACTACATGAAATAGCAAACCTGCTGCTGCCAACGATATATAAAAATTGGTACATGAAATGAGAATGGCTGGGAAAAAGTAGACAAAATACGACAAGTATGGTTCCACATTAGTAGTAAACTTCCCTTCGTTCAAACGAAGGGTGAGAATTAAAATGAATAAATAGAATATAATGTAGAAGATCTCAAAAGAGCGAGTGAATCGTTTACTCGCAGTGTTCCACGCTTTCTTTCTCAAACGTATTGACAGATAGACGAGGAACAAAAACATTACCAGTGCAGGGGTGGCTTCAATCCACAATACCCATTCTATTGGCCAACCCATATCATCAACGTTAGCAGTTCCACGGTCCATGGTTGAGTTCTGGAAAATGAATGGCTGAGTACGCAGCGTGCTAGCAGCCTGTCACGGCGGAACACAGCCAGTGCTGCCGGGTAGAGAAAGATGAATGATTACGGCGATCAGCAGCTAGGCTGACAAAAGTTGGAGAGCAGGCGTTCGTGCGCCGTCGGCGCTTCGCCCCTCGTGCGCATGCGCAATTATTAGTTCGTGAGATCCAGACACATAGAAAGCTAGAATTCGAAAACGGCCCTAATTTTAAAATCTCTGAACTGTGGCCTGTGTAAAATACTTTATAAAATGCCATTCTTGCTCTATCTATCTATCATTCTACCGGTGGGCTCTTTCATGATCAGATCAACTGGCATTAACAACACAGACAGATACAGAGCATCAGAAAGTTGACAGACATGAATAATTATTATAGCTCCTTAAATCATCGTCTCATGAGAGCAGAGACTGCAGCATACACCACTGCAGCTCCGCCCACCCCAATCATGAGTCCATTGAACGCCTGCGAAGTCTTTCTTGTAGCTATATATAGGCCATAATAGGCATTAATCTTCTCCCTCTCTTTTAGTAATCAACAATGGAAGAGATGGTGCTCAGTCAGTCTATCATCTTCATATTCATGTGATTGGTGGTCGGAAGCTGAGCTGGCTCCTGATAGCTATGACAACTATAAAGTATTAAACAATTATGGTATGTATGATAGTTTGTATGGCACTATTATTATCAGAGAGTCGGTTA